AAAAAACAAACTTGCCTAAGCACTAAAACAGTCGATAATCAGCATTGCAACTGTACACCGGTGAGTTTGCTTGTCAGTCTCTTTCCGTTTCACAATTTTTTATTTTGTTTTGACCATTTAAACGCCTCATGACTAAATCCTTACAGTTCATTGGGTTTATTGGGCTCTACAAAGCCCCGCAGGCAGCAGTACAAACCACTCAGAGTACATTAAGTCTGCAGTCAACCGAAAAGACCTCGCGGGAGGCGTCAGTGTTATCTGGGAGCTGTGATTTGTTCTCATCTAAGCGTGTTTCTTCTGCCATCTAGAGGTTCTCTCTGCCGCTGCCAGTGAACCACAAAGGAGCAGGTTTCCACATGAATGAATGAGGCTGATGCAACTCAACACACTGTTGACAAATGCCAAGCTGACAATGGCATTAAACCAAAGTCCTTTTCCTCATACAGTGTCTCTCTTTACGAAAATGAAAGGAAAATTAGGCCATCGCGACCCGCCTGCGGTTAAACAAATTATAAAGTGGCAATTTGCTTTAAAGCAGTTTGCAATTAGCTCGGTTTTTTTTCTGCGTTTCTGCACATTATTAACGTTACACAAGCAAGAGAAGGATACCAACTTACAGAGGGGGGAAGTTTTGCAGGTCCGGCTCCAAAGTTGATGGTTTGTTTGTGTTCCATGGTGTAAAGCGAGCTCGAAACTCCGGCTGGTGGATGCTGTCCCTGCCTGCTGTCTCTACCAGATTCAGCGCTGTGAAAGCCTCAGCTTCGGCCGTGTCTTTGCTCTCCTCCTCGAGCACTGGTTGGCTTGGATGCCAGTTATGTATATAGCATGTTGCGTTTGGGAATGCCTCGTAAATTTGTAGCCTCAATTGACAAAATAGAGTCATGCGATCTAGGTTACAATGCATAGTTGACCAAGTAAGGGAGTATTAATGCATGATGCATCCTCAAATCCTCAAAAAGTTTTAGATTAACCTTTTAGGCTGTCCGAGTGGATAGCTCTGATTCAAATATTAAACAATTATTTTATATATAAAAAAAACCCTCTGTGGCTCCTGTTTTAAATTGAAAGCATAATTAAACATTGTTCTCAAAGCACCTTGTACTCAAATGTTCCCCCTAAGTCAATATTAGAGTAAGAGTACTCTGGGTTAGTGTTATTATATTTAAACTATTGTGAAATAGTTTAAATATAATCCCAGACTGTTTTCCCTTTGATCTTAAGTACCGTAACAACTTGATTTTAAAAGATTTACAACATTGTAAAATATTTAACTTAAATTATTTATTAAATTAGATCATGCAGAAACTTCTTAACTGAGATCAAATTATTTTTTTCCTCATTTCAATTATTTCACATATATAATAAACTATACATTGATCTTACACTTGCCTTTTTTTTTTGACCAGTTCACGCCAACTAAGTTACTTACTTACTTGGCAGCACTTGAAGGCACCACCAGGACCCAAACTAGGACCCGTTGTCACGTGACTGGCTGAGTGCACCGTCACGCCACCGAAAATGTGAGCGAGCAAAACTTCAAGTCTCAAGTAATTTGAAAGCACTTTACACGTATAGCAGGAAGAGCACTGGTTGCTCTTTCACAGTATCCTGTTTATTCAATGATCAATTAATCAATGCTGCAGGAATTTGGAATTTCTGGAAATGACAAATTCATATTGCTTGCCAGCATGAATTGATTCTGCAAAGTTATGGCATTGAGAAGAGGAGGAATAACAACATCCCATAGAGCTTATATGGAACCTCTCATATTGTGTCTGTGTCTGGATAAGAAAGAAAGAGTTTCAACATTTAGACACATTTTGATCAAATGTTTCCTTATTATCCTGATAGCTTCTGATTACTTTTCATAGAACTATGTTTCAGCGTTCTATTTGTTTCCTATTTTGATGTATTGTGTCTAACTGCACACTATAGAAGGAGAAAAACACACTTTCCACTTATAAATACCACTGAACAGATTATTTCCCCCCACAACAGCAAAACATCTGAAGAGCAGAATATTAACGGGGTTTAAAGGAGACAAGTCGCATGCGCTCACAGCTGCTTCCTCAAAAAGTCAACATCAAAAGAGACTACTTAGGGTAGCATCGTGGAAAAAAAACAAAATATAATATATCCGAGCAAACAAACGCAACATATTGTGTTTTCCTTCAGATTTGATTCTGTCTAATATCTGCAATGATAGAGAAAATGAACATCCCACAGTGTCTTTTACACATCTGCTCTCTATAAGGATGGACGTAAAGACGTAAATGCCCTTCGTTTGAAGTCACTCTCACCAGTAGCTGTACCACCTTGTCACACACAATTGACAAAAAAGACACGGTTTTCACTATTTGAATCTAAACTTTGATCTCTTCTTAATCCTAACCAAACTAAAATGCAGACTGATATGTATTTGTTATATATTTGTCCTCAAAATAACAACATTTCCCACAGTCAAAGGTGGAAGTGTGAACATGAGCATTGTTAAAAAAGATGAGATGAAAGTAAACAAACGTTTGAAAATGTAAGCACAACAGACTAAATTTAGTCAGTTTGAGTGTTTCCTGCACAGTATTGCACAGAGTGTTGTGTTACCAAAGATTCAGCAAGACAATTTTCTATCAAATGGAAATAGTCCATTGCAGTTGCTGTTGGCACAGTTTGGGTTTTTTTCTACGAAGTTGTAACAAAGGTAAAACCAGAAGCTCTAGCAGTCAGGCTGACAGCATTAATTTAACCGTAACTTAGAAAAGCGTGACAGAGATAATTGTATTTCAGCAGCTCGTGAAACACACGAGACTCGCTTGACCGGTTTGTCCCTTTTTGGAGATCACATGGAATTATACAATGTTTCAGTGTGTGTGTGTGTGTGTGTGTGTGTGTGTGTGTGGGTGTGTGCATGTCCAAGCAAACATACACTACAGTGATCAGACTGCTCTCATCTCAGGAGAAAGTATAAATAAACAATGAGTGCACCGTGTCCAAATGCTCAGCATGGCCTTTAGGGGCCAGATGAAAGAAAGTGCATCTCTGCTTCTCCTTTGGGTGCCTGATGATCCGTCTCTACTCCTTCCTCTGCGTCTGTGTTTCCCACTCTGACTCTCCCTCTTGAGCGCCACAGCAAAATGGCAGGGAAGGCATGCTTGAAAGCCTTTCTAAAGTTGTTGCCCGTGAAAGCATACACAAACGGGTTTACAGAAGAGTTGGAGCAAGACATGCAGTGACCCCAAATCTTCAGCTGTGAATGCAAAATTAAGGCGCACTCGATTTTCAAGTTTTTCAATTCAAATCACAACACCAGTCAGCTCAAGGTGCTTAATATTGTAAAGAACCTACAATAATGTTGGACTATTGGAAGGAAAAACTCCGTCTTAACAGGAAGAAACCTGTGGCAGATGAAAATAATCGAACGCTGCCGCTGCCGGCATAACACACAGTGATGGTAAGCAGGGGTAAGAGGTAGACAGCTAGAAAGCTGTAGATGGTGAAAGCTCTCTGGAGATGGGCAGAGGGAAAAACATCATTGCAGTATGTCTGAGGACCGAACCAGCAGTATCCCACCTCCAGCGACAGGGATGGACAGAATCAAGGAGCCTGGAGGACAGGGGACATGGCATGTAGTTTCCCTTCTTATACTGTGGCAAATAAAAAATAACAAGAAACACTCAGAGAAGTGCAAACCTTCGCGAAGGCAGCACACTCTCTGGACAGGATTTACCTTTGAGGGAACAGTACTGCATTTTGTGTATATTAATTTAGTTGTATTTGTTCTTTGAAATGTACTTTAAGATGTTTGTAATCCAAGTAAAATCCTAGAAGTGTAGCAGATGTTTGTTTTGATTACACAAACCTTATATAGGAGAAGATAATGGATAATAGGTAATATCTTTCCCGTAGTATATTTTCATTCTTTTCTATCCTATAAGATGTTTTGGGGTCCTAAATTATAAAACTTTTTGACAAAGTTTTATCAGAATTAATTAAAAACTTTTTGAGGATGTTGTTTATAGACAGAAACACAAGCACACATGCATCAGTGGATAATAGATCAATTATTGGATAATTAATTGTCCATTAAATTCATGGATTAAATAACTAGAGTCCTATTTGTGATGTGGGTGCACATGTGTGCATGGTATGTTTGTATGATACCTATTCAGATAGACAGGGAGATGGCCAGAGCCCTCCGAGGCGTCCGATGTCTCAGAGGGTACAAAGTCACGTAGCAGCAGTCGACACTCATTGCTGACAGAGTGACACATGTCGCCTGTGCAGTCACCTGAAAACCAGGAACACAAGGTATGTCTGTTACTATCACTGTGCAACAAAACCTTTTTAAATCTGTGGTGTCTGGTGTATTTTATTGTGTTATATCTTGTAGAAAGTGAAACTACGAGAAATATATGCAATTAATGTGTTGGGAATTTTGAGTATTTGTGTTAGTACAGGGAGTGCAGAATTATTAGGTGAATGAGTATTTTGTCCACATCATCCTCTTCATGCATGTTGTCTTACTCCAAGCTGTATAGGCTCGA